CTTAGACTTAAACCTTAAGTCAGGTTAACTGACTCTAATTATATTACCTAGATTTAATTCTTTATTAATCCAGTGCTGCATCAGATGCTCCATCACTTTTTCCAGGAGTGATCTCAGACTTCTCTCTCTTCCTCAAAGCACTGTATGATGCTATTCCAGTTGCATTTGTCTAATTTTGTGAGTCCATGCCTTCCATGCCTTGAGGCTCTGGAATGTGATTTGCAAAAACACTGCACAATCACAGTTTCCAACAGGATCTGGGCTTCAAAAATGCAAAATGCTGCACCATACTTTAGAATGTTAAACTGCTGCAAGCTGCAAGTACCCCAAACATTAAGGTTTTTATCTTAACCTATCTGCCTCTGAGATTACTGATATCAAAAGAAGGTAATAAACCTTCCCCTTACAGAGACACAATGAAAATAAATGCATCGGTATTTTTGAAGCACTTGGATACTTCAAAGGAGAGAATTATAAGTCCCATGAGGGCATTAATCATTCGTTTTTGAGAGCAGGGTGGAAGATAGTACATTAAATAAGTCATGGGGCTCCATACCAAACAAGGAAAAAACAAATTATTGAAGTGCTTCTCATTAAGACACAGAAACTCAAAGGTATTTTAAGTACTGAAAATCAAGCTTCTTAGGTGAGCATCTATTGGTTTTTTATTTTTACTTTTAACTGAAAAAAAACCAGGAGATCTGGAAGAAAAATTTTCAGCGATTATGTAATTATACTTTTTTATTTACTTTTACTTTTAACTGAAAAAAAACAGGAGATCTGGAAGAAAAATTTTCAGCGATTATGTAATTATAGGTTATAGCATAATGCACTATTCCTTAAAGTTTGCATCAGAATGTATGTGCACCAAATCTAGGGCACAAATTGACATTGCCCAATCAATCTTAGTTACAGCATTTAACAATATCACATTGCTTGGCTTTACAATATATAAGATTTTTCCCAATAATTAGTGTACAAATAATTTTCTCTGGTTTTAGGATAATACACAAAGCCATCCACATTCCTCTGTGTGCTCACATCTGTAGGAGACAGGGGATGGGAACTCTTCTCTTGCTTCATCCCTCCCCACATGGGGTACATACCTCTGCCTGCAGAGTAAATGACACAAATTATTAACTGTCATCTTTTTTGAATCAGCATCAGGAGGGACAGAACATTTTGCCAGTGAGTTTCACCAATGTTTGCTGACATCAGAACAACAATGGAAGTCAGGCATTGTTGGTTCAGTCAGGATTATAAGAGAGCACACTAAAATAAGCACAGGCTTTTCTAGCTGTTCTCCAGGTGGCTTAGTTCCTTTTACCACTTTCAACTCATTCTTCTTTCTTTTGGTTTATCTTACCTCACATCCAGCTTTCACAGTACTCACCTGACCCTCCTGAGCTGAAAAATCCCTTATAGCGTTTTGATAAAGCACTGCACGTCCAGATCCACCCACATAGCCAATCCTGCTTCAAGTCCAGGGGAGACTAGAGACCTCCTGATCCTTTTCAAATTGAATTTTTATATGATCCTATGAAGACACCATGCTCTTCTCCAGTATTTAAATAGTCTTCATTCCAATAGGTAAGTTTATTAATGAAACTTTGTACCAAGTAGCTTTGGTTTATTACACTGTCATAATTCTACTTCTACAGTACTAGACTCCTTTAGACAAAAAAGGCAATGAAGGATGCATCCCATAAAACAATAAAATATAACTAAGGTTGTTGCCATGGAATGAAGTTGCTGCAAATTCCACATAAACCAGGAATTTATGCCAGGAGTTCTTCAAAGTACTGTGGCTGGCCTTCCAGCAATGTGGAAATGTTAACACCAAGGCTAAGGGAGCATGATTTTTTTCCCTTCCTTTGTGTAAACATGATAATATTTCTCTGTGCCCTGGCTTGGAACCCTCTTGAGCTGCAGTGGGTGCCAATAGACAGGATGTTTGTTCTGCAACAGGAGGCTTGTTCTGCAACAGGGCAATCAAACTGCTCCTGTCAGAGTAGGTCACAGTCACCTTCTCTGTTCCTCTACCCCAAAATGTTGATGACCCAGGTCATAATGGTGCACAATTTTTCTAATGTAACTCAATGAAGGTGGATAAAATAAACCAAAATACATTTATTTGTTTTCTTCTTGAATAAAACTTATCTTTTAAATTGTATCTTTTTGTATTTCTGCAAAGGATTACCCCCATCCTGGTTCTTCTCTTTCAGGTCAAAAAGGCACTGCTGGAGAAACCTTGCATGAGCACAAAATGTAGCTCCTCATGAAGCCTTGCTCAGGAGGGAGAGTCTTGATGCTTAACTTCTCTATTTATTCCTATATAGGGTCTACCACCCATCTGGAATATTCCTTTAAAATAATTTTCATTTCCTCATTTAAACCAAAAACAGTTTTCACAGGAATATGTAAAGGCATTTCTCTTTTTTGAAAGATTTTTTCCCATAACGTTTTGCTTCAGTAGTACTTATTTCATCAAAAATTTATTTCTTAGCTCCTAGAAATGTGTTTTCTTTCCTCTTTTGTCTGCAATCTTCTTCTACTCAGAAACCGTCTCTTGAGGATCACTGTTTCAAGGGCAGAACTCCTACTATGCAAAATATGTAACCTTCAGGAAAATACTACCTTTGAAATTCTTCCGTTCCAAACAAAAACTCAGGATGTAGAAGCAGCCCAGAGAAGGTGTTTGGGATGAAAATGTTTGATCAGTTTGGGTAAGTGTTGTAACCTCTCATTACAGGCTTTTCACTGTACTGTATGACTTTATTCTCTTTCTACAGATCTACTACACCTACTGCTTCTCTAATGGTTCTTCTTTTCCTTCCCATTTCTCCCATTTTCAATTCTTTGCTTTCTTCAGTCAAATTTCTCTATCCTCAGAACTTCAACTTGAGACCTCCATTCCTAAAGTTCTCTTCCCCTCAGCATTTCAACCTGCCAGTCCCAAGCCATGATGAGGCCTTTTCCCCTTAGTGGGAAAAGACAGTGAGTGGTAGTAGCTGGGAGTTTCTAGAAGACCACAAATCGATCACATTGCAGAAGAAATTTAGGTATGTTAGGTAGCAGGCAATTGGGCTAATCATGAACTCACAAGAAAACAAGCACAGAGAAAGCAGATCTTTCCATGGAATGAGTATAGAAATGCTGCTTGGCAAGAATGGGTAAGGACAAGCACAAAAAAACCCCAATACAACAAATAAAATTAACTAGCAAGAGCATCCCAAGTAATGAGAAATTGTTTGATAAGTACATCAGTGGTAAGAGGAAGTCAAAAGCAAGTGGATTACTCATCAGAGAGAGAGAGCTATTGAGTGATGCCAGAGAGGGCTCAGACTGCCTCAGGTCTTTGCACGAGTCTTGGCTAAAAGAAGTCCCTGTTGATCAGGTGACTGATGTGATACCCATTAATGAAAAGGGAGTAAGGCTTCAGCCCAGGCTGGGGCAGGACCAGTTACAAGAGTACTTAGGTAACATCGAGATGTTCAAACCAACACTCTGGCTGCACTTTATGCCAGGTTAGTGAAGGAAGTGGCTCAAACACTCAGCACTGGAAACACTCATGACTATCTCTGAGAATCCAGGGTAGATGGGCAAGAAATAAGCAAACTGATGCCTATCTTTAAAAGTGGCATTCGAAAATAAATAGATAAGCCAGATTTTTGCCCCAGAAAGCATCTAGTACAAATAGACACATGATTTGTAGAGAGGTAGAAGGAAATAATAGCAATTATTAATATGAACTTGTCAGCTAGAAACTGGGACAATCTGGGCAAATTTCCCTTGGCAATGAGAAGCAGAGCATGTTATGGAATAGGGGAGAGTGGACTCCACTCATCTGTGCCTTGGTTAGGCTCTATGCACGTGCTTATGAGGAAGGGAGTTCAGCTAATTTCAAAAATTTGGGCAGGCAGTAGAGAAGTTTGGAAACAGCAATTGTCAGTGTTTTACAAGCAAGAGGGTGGATTATAAATTCAGTTCCAAAGGGGGTGTTTCGTTAGCAGCCTTCTGAGATAGCATTAACTGGGGAGCAGCTGTAAACACGTTAGACGATGACATGAGAATTCAAAATAACCCTAAGAAGTTGCTTGGAAAGTAAAGAGCATCACTGAAATCAACGAGAGGAATTGTTTTTGCAGGCAGGGTTACCCCCTGCACACACAGAGGCTGGGGCACTGCTCAGCACGGGCTGCAGACACCAGCTGAGGAGAGACCAGAGAGCTGCAGGCAGTGGCCAAAGAGACTGCAGCAGAAGCAGCTGGACAAATTGCAGCTGGTCATCTTAAAGAAAACATGGCACAGGGAAGTGATAGCAGCCATCAGATGTAAAAGGACACTGCAACATAGAAAGAGACTTCCCTTGGCAGGGACCACATTTCAGCAAGGAATATTCAGAGAGGAGGGAAAAGTGTCACCTGGAGAGGCTGTAGGGCCTCTGAAGTACTGAGTGCTCCTCAGAGCAGAATCCAGGGAAGCCCCACCAAAGGGACACAGAGACACACTGAAGTGGTGTAGATGTGAAACCTTTCTGGTGTCCTCTGTAAGACAAAGAGCTAAAGGGAGGAAGATCTAAGGCATTAATAGTGTACAATAATTTGCTAGCAGAGACGAGATCAAGTACATGAAATTCCATCAACAACTTGCTCTTCCATTTATATTTGGCAATGACACCCATCCTCTTCTAATGCACACAAGTATTTTCTGTTTTTTTATTTTCTGCTCACTAGCTGTGCTCACGTGTACAAGGGTATATTGATCTGTTTTCTCTCCTTCCCTTCTTACAAAGAAAAAAATAACCGCACAGTTCAGTAATGCACGGGCTGTGCTCTACGATGAAAATAGTCTGAGGCACTTACACACTGAAGTAAATTTAGCTTAACATAAAAATAACCTTCACAAATTTGAAATGCCTGTTTTACAATTAACGTCAGGTGCTAACAGGATATAATTTTCTTCAAAGTGTGTACTGATGCGACAGGCTGACTGAAGCGATGAAGGCACGTCTCCTCGCCGCCCTCTGGGTCTCAGAAATGCCCCCTTCACCTTTCGGTTCTTCCCTCCGAGTCTCTTTCTTCAGCCACGCAGGGTGCTCCTGCGGCTCGGCGATGCGGTGCGCTCCCGCCCAGCCCGCTGCAGCCGCGCTGCGTTATTAAAGGCACACATACCGAGTAAATAATTGATACGGAGCTAGCGCGCTGCGGAGCCGGAGCGCCTCCTCCTCTTCCCCAGCCCTCGCCCTGCCCGCCCCGCGGCCCTACCTGCCCCGGCCCGCCGAGCTCGGCGCGGCCGCGGGCAGGTGGGGGCTGCCGGGAGGCGGAGGGCGAGGAGCCGGGTGGGTTTGTCCGCCCGCCTCTGGAGGTGCGGCCGGCGGCACGGCGCGGAGAGCGGGCTGCCGCGGGAGGCGCACGGCGGTGGCGGTGACCGCGTCCGCAGCCCGGGCCGCGGAGGGGCCGGCGGGGCCCCTTGCTGCAGAGCCAGATGTACGGGACGCGGCGCTGCGAAGGGTCGGCGGGGAGGTGCTGGGGGCTGCCGCCGCCGCTGCTGCCGCGGCCGGGGGGGAGCCCTTAGCCGTGCGGGAAGCGGGGAAGCCGTGTCGGGAGCTGTTATTTTCTTCTCCTCCTTCCTTTGCCTTCCCTCTTGTCCCTCCTCCCCCTCCTCACCAAAACCGGGAGAGGAGGCGTGTTCGGTGCCTTGCTGCACCGGTTTTGCTTGGTTTGTTGTTGCAGGGTTTGGTTCTCAGGGTGGCTGGCTTTTTTCTTTTTTTCTCTTTTCTCTTCCAACCTCCCCGCCTTCTCCTTTCCTCTCCTTTGGCCCATCGCATGCTCGGATCCGGCTGGATCCTTCCTTTGCTTTTCGGCGGTGCCTCTCGGAAGGGGGAAGGGAGAGCTGGGATGAGTGCAGCTTGACGCACAGGCGAGGAGCGGGGGGGCACCGCCGGCAGCTGCAGCGGTTCGTGGCCGCAGGCTGCGGGTGAGGAACGGAGAGAGCGAGGGGCTCCCTCGGTGCCTCCCCCTTTCTTCGCCCCTGTCCTTCCTCCCCTCCTCCCTCTCTCCCTCCCCCATCCGTCTCCTGCCGGGTCCGGCTGGGAGCGTGTGTGCAATATCTTACGTTGCAAGGTGTGTGTGTGTGTGCGCGGAGCGGAGGGAGGAAGGACTCGCGAGGGAGCCGGGACTGCCCCGGCCCCCCCTATGTGAGCCTCCCCGGGCGGCTGGATGGCGATAGACCGGCGCCGTGAGGCGGGCGGCGGGGTCCGGCCGCTGCCCGAGGAGAACGGCTCGGTGCCGGGGGCCGTGGGGGGGGGCGCCGCCGCCCCCCCGGGGCCTCCCCCCGCCAACGCCGCCGGGGCCGAGATCCAGGCGCTGCCGGTGCCGCCGCCCGCCGCCGCCTGCAGCCCGCTGCTCCTCGACTACGACGGCTCGGTGCTACCCTTCCTTGGGGGGCTGGGCGGCCGGTACCAGCGGACCCTGGTGCTGCTCACCTGGGTCCCGGCGCTCGTCATCGGCTTCAGCAAGTTCTCGGACTCCTTCCTCCTGGACCAGCCCGACTTCTGGTGCCGGGAGGCGGACGGGCAGGGCAACTGGAGCGGGACCCTGGCGCCGATCCACGCCAACCACAGCGGCAACGGGAGCATCTTCCCCCCACCCGGGCTGCCCACCCCCGCGGGGGGCAACGCCAGCGAGTGCGGCTGCCGCGAGTGGCACTACCGCATCAGAGCCGGCCTCGTCCAAAACGTCGTGAGCAAGGTGAGAAAGGCGACTTCCCTCGGCCCCCTCCCTGTCCAGCCCTCGCCGACCCTCTCGGCACCCGCTGTTTCCAAGGCAAGGGGAGCAGCTGGACACGATGCGGATCTGTCCTTGCGTGCTGCAGCCGGGTCAGTCAGGTCCCCGTGGGTTAGCGTCCCACCCGGAGAAAGCCGATCCCACATCCGCGCAGCCCTTTCCCTCCCGGGGTGTCACACCAGGTGTCCAGCCTGTGGATTTGTACCCGCACACTGGTTGCAGCACTAAGCTGCAAAGTTATGTCCTGAAACGGGATCCTGTGTGTCTCTTTGAGTTCCTGGTACTGTCCTGCTGTCTCTGGGTGTCTGTGGGAGAGATGCTGTAGGCATGTGCCCCAGCTGCTGAGGGGGAAGGGTTGCGGAGAGGGCTCCGGTTGATCTTTGTGCGAGTATACTAAAACAGCCCTACACGTCAAAAACCAGGTTGATTTTTGGGGAAGCTAAAGAAATGGTGACTGTTGTGAGTAAAATAAGCCAAAAGTTCTCTTGAATTCTTCTGGTTGTGTACTTATTCTCTTGAAAACTGTCTTGGCAGAAGAATTAAAGAAATATCTCACACAAGTTGTTTTACTCCAGAAGCAGAAAGTGCATGCTGCTGTGTTTTGTGTTTCCCCTTGTAATGACTAAAGTGGAAAATTTCTAGTGAAGAGACTGTGCCGCTTTCTGCTCTTGCTTCATGTTTGCTGAGTAGTGCATATGAAAAAATCACCTTCCCTTTTCACCTGAAAGCTTTTGCTTGTTTTTAGTATTGGCCCTGCAAAAGCCCTGCTGGCTGCAGATGGGCCTTATTGACACTAACAGGGAGCTGGAGCTCCTGGAAATGTAAAATGAAATGGTTACACCAGGGAAGTAGTTCCCTTAATCTCAAGACCCTCTCCTAAGATCAGCAAAAATTGCTTCCTGCCTGGGAGCAGTGTTTTGGCTTAACTGTATTTATCTAGTTGGGATAAAGAAACGAGGCAACAATCAGATGAGCAACATAATTGTGCTTTGGTCAGCCAGCACGCACTTATATTGAATCATTGAAAATCATTTTGGTTTCTCTTTGTGTACCTTGAAAGAGTGTGCAACAGGGAAAAAGCAAATCCCTCAATACCTTGAACCCAGAATGGATTAAAAAGGAAGGTAACCCAGCTACATTCCTTTCATGAGAGAAACATAGGCACATGTTGGATCTGATTGGTTTGTGTTACAGAAATCCATAGGAAAATTAGATATTTAAGAAGGTCAGATTTTCTTCTGTTTATATACAGAGACTGAGCTATTCATATGTTTGCAGATTTAACACTGAAGGTTAAGCATGAAAAAATTGTCTTGAAATATTTTTTTTAGTCTAAACTTTAAAAAAAAATTTTTTTGGAAATGTTTGAATCTTTTGAAGGTCATCGTCAAGTTGGCCACAAAAGGTCAAGGGAGAGTTAGTTTGCTGTCTTGCATGCTTCTTTAGAGATAATAAAAAAAGTGTTCTTTGGAAGAACTTGCTGTAAAGGGCAGATCAATTTTAAGGGATAAACAAACATCTGTGGCCCCTGCTGTCTTGTTTTCTATTAGAAAGAATAATAATCATCTTTTGAGACTATGGGTTTTTCCAGTGTGGAGTTTTTTGTTTGGTTTTTTTTTTTTTTTTTTTTTTTTTTTTTTTTTTTTTTTTTTGTATGCTCACTTCCAAAAGCTTGGCAGCATTTTTGCTTTGATTTGTAATCCCGTGTAATTATAATTAGATTGTTTTCTTGGGGTCAGGATTCCTCTTTAGTTTGTGCTTTTTTTTTGTTTTGGGAGTTTTCTCGGTGGGGATGCTGCTGCTTTTTATTCTAATGAAGAAAGAGAGGAAAAACCCAGACAGAACATCATCATAGCTTGATTTGGACTTCATTTCTTATCAATCCCCGGGAGCTCTGATATAGTGGGAGCAATTCTTGTAACTGCTGGCTCCTCTTACATGCATCTCACTGTCCTTTGTGAGAAAGAGCTGCTCTGGATGAGTTCAAGAGACTGGATGTTCAGATCACCCTTAACTCTCCTCAAAAATACATTTATTTCTGTAATGTATTATGCAATGTTCTCATCTTTCTAAATAGAGTTTTATTAAATCTTAGTCTAATATATGCTCATCTGTGTAGTAGCCAGGGGTTATATTGAAATATCATAAAGAGAGCCAAAAGTATATTAATAAAAAATGTACTTTTGTTTGGCAAGTAAATCCTCTTGTACTTACCTTCAGTGGTCTGAGCTAACAGCTGCTGGATGCTCCATCATTGCTTTGTATCCAGAAACAATGAAATAATTCTGGTTATTTAGCACAAAGCATATTTGATGTGCATACATATGAGACATCACTGTTCCCCCCATTCCTAAGGGGTAGGATAGCTGTCCTTAAACTGTGTTAAGTTCCACTGTCTCCATAGCCTCTCTTCTAATGGTATGCCCTTCATCAGATGCTGTATCCCTGTCCAGTCTTTCTCAGCTGTCCCTTCCCTGGTGCCTATTTTCCCCCAGACTATGTCATGCTTGGGATTGGAGTGGAGGTCTTGCTATTTCCAGCCCTGCTCGGTGCTTTGTTTAGCCCCACTTCTCTGCGTGTTTGCTGCAGCCAGCGGTGGCCTTGCACCTTTCTTGTAGACTGGCATTGCTGTGTCAGACACTGTCATTACCCTGACCTGCTTGACTGAGTCACTGGGAGCGGTGCTTTTTATAGTGCTGCCAGTCATTAGAACTGGAAATGGCAATAAAGGACATAGTGCTTATTATTTAACACTGCTGAAATACATGTAGTGAAGAGGTCAGATGCATAATTTAACCACAGGGATTCCAGTGGCCATGTTAAATCACCCTTCTGAGCTAATGTCCTGACTTGGCACATAAATCTTGGTCTTTAGCTTGGATTGTACACAAGTATCTTCCCTTAGCACAATTCACTTGCAAGGCTTTCTCACTGCTAAATGATTCTTTGAAGATTTTCATCTATTCTTTATCACATTACTATCACCATACTGTTATAAACATAGTGCATGTGTATTTCTTGAAAGGTACATCCTAAACCAGCCCTTAGTCAAAAGGCTAGGAAAAAAGTCTATTTAATGGTCCATGTATCATCTCACCTGTGTCCAAAGGAAGGATGCTGAGAAACGCTCTTTTTTTCTTTTTCCTTTGGAGAAGCCTGAGATCTTTTAGTCATTTGCAAAGTGGTGCTTCAGGTAAATTACTAGTGTTAACACCATGAGCAACATTGTGACAACTAAACATATGTAGCCACGAAGCTTAGCGGGAAGCTGGAGTGGGTGCTCAGCAGGGACTTTTCTAACTCTCTCACTAACTTCCGTCTTCTGACCATCTGCAAAGCCAGCTGTTATCTTGGGACAACATTTTCATGGAAGCTCTTGGTTACAGGACTGATGGTTGTTGGTTTTTTCACTCTGTTACTAGGATGACCCATCTTCTGTGTTTGATTGCATTAAGTGGTGGGGTTGTTTGCAGTTCTGCATGCTGATTTGTATAATGGAGACCAAAAGCTGGTGATGGGCAAGGACTGGGCTTGATTAAATTGCAGAGGTTGATGGCACAGCATCCCTCTGTGTGCACTTGCAATGTTCCAGATCATTCCACCTCTTGGGGCTGGCGTAAGAGGGAAGTGGTTAGTTGAAGGCTGCATTTTAATCACTTGGAGCAATTATGTAATAATATTTCTTGTGTAGTCACAAGGGAATTCCTGTTGTGACTGCTTTTATGCTCCAGATGCCTTGTTTTCCTGCCACTTGCTTGGCTCTCAACTTCCCACTTGGTTTGGGTTGAGTCATCTTCTTTCCAAAGTGATATGGCAATTGCTTTACCTGTTTGCCACTGGTGCAAACATTCTCATGCCAATTTGGCTGAGCCTCTAGCAAATTGTCCCTGCCAAAAAAGTGGAGCTCAAGCCAGAAGAGCCAAATGGTCCAGGGGCAAGGATTGGTTTGGTCTATGACTGGTGCTCTTTGCTCCTGCAAGGGGAGATATCTGTGCTTAACTGGTCTTCCTTCTCCTTTTTTTTATCACAGTTCTGGCACTTTTCAGGGCACACCTTCATCTGTTTCAGCTTGTTAGCCTGGTAGAAAATTTCCTCTCAAAATAATTTTTTTCTTATTTTCCTGGGTG